ACATTTGTATGTATGTGTATATACGTATGTATGAACGTCGTGTCGGTTCGTTTGCTTCGTTTAATTAATGACTCGAAACCATTCATTATAATTTTGTGATAAGTGTCAAATGTTGTAGTTGTAGTTGTTACTGTAATTTGTAAATAACCGATTTTGAATGAATGAACAAAAATGATGAGTGAGTGTGTGTGTGTGTGTGTGCGTGCGTTTCTTCATTGGCTTTACCTTTTTTGTTTGTTCTCTAATGCGGTACGCGCGATATTGACATTAGCATATTTGTCTATGAAACTGACATTTGCTCGCCCCCATGCAAAAAAAAACAAACGGCAACAAAATTTAAACAAATTATGGTCGGGTGGTCTTTGGTCTTTTCCCCCTGGGGTTTGGTTAGTTTTTTTCCTCTATAACTTAACAAAAACCACATGATATTTCGAAAACAGGAATGGGAAGTTGTAATCATTTTAAAAAATTAAAAAAATCAATAGAAACTCTTATTCAGCCAGGCTGAATTGACGATTTTCTATAGAAACTCTTATTTATCCAGGCTGAATTGAAGATTTTCTATAGAAACTCTTATTCAGCCAGGCTGAATTGAAGATTTTCTATAGAAACTCTTACTCAGCAAGGCTGAATTGAAGATTTTCTATAGAAAATCTTATTCAGCTAAGCTGAATTGAAGAAGGCTCTTATTCAACCAGGCTGAATTGAAGATTTTCTGCAAAAACCCTTATTGAGCCAGGCTGAACGCGAGATTTTATATAGAAATTCTAATTCAGCTGGGGCTGAACTGAAGATTTCCTAACGAAACCCTTATTCAGCTGCGACTGAATTGCAGATTTAAAAATACATATGTTATTTGTATTTGTGTAATTCCTACTTCCCACCCCTGTGCATTGAGGCCAATAGACAATCTCAATGTCAACAACAATGCGCAATTGTAAGGCTTGCATATTTTTTTACACTACCAAGCACACACACACACATATATACTCAAATATAGCCCCACTCACACATAGTGTGTGAGTATCTTGTTTACTCTCTTTTTAATATGCATAACATGAGAGACAGACAGACCGACAAACAGACATATGGGGGCAGCACACAATGTCGATCATTGATGTCGGCATTTCTTACGTCGTTTTATTTCTTTGTATTTTTCGTCGTTGTAGTTATTGCTCGTAACTCTTCTCTAGAATACGAAACATCTGTTGGCTATCCCAAAAAATGTTTGTTGTCAAACGTCATCATTTTCATAAAACGCCAGGTTGACAACAACAAAGAAGAAATCAACAACCGTAAATTGTTGAGTGAATCCTTTTTATTCGCTCTTTGCTGTCTTCTTTGTAAAATTTGTCGTGCCAACATCGTGAATTGCAAAAAACAATTAATGACAGCTCTCACTTTCGCCCAAACAAATGCCAAATAAAGTAACAACAGCAGCAGCAACAACAACAACACCAACAACTAACAATTTATGAGTTTTTATGGCTTTCGTTGGTGTTGTTGTCGTGTTGTGTTTTGTTGCTTTTGTTTTGCACACAACGAACATGCATGGTGTTATGTATAAATGTGTGTGTGCGTACGAGGTTGTTTATAATTAACAGCTTTTGTTGTTTGTGTTGTTGTTGGCGTTTTTATTGATAAAGATAAATAAAACGCAAAAATATTCTTAACTGATAGTGGAGATGATGATGTTGAGATCTCTCTTCGATGGATGCTGACTTGCCTCTCCCTCTATTGAACCCCCTCATTATTTTATAGAGAAAAAAGTTCTGGTGATGTTTTTTGTTCTCCAAATGAAGACCCTTTCAGTATTTTAAAAATATGTATTATCTAAATAGCCCGGATAATGTATCTACATTATCTAAACAGTCCGGATAATGTATCTATATTATTAGAATAGCCTAAAAAATGTATGTACTTTATCTAAATAACCCGGATAATGTATCTACGTTATCGGAATATCTCGAAAATTGTATCTACATTATGAGAATAACCCAGATAATGTATCTACATTATCTAGATATCCCGGATAATGTATCTATATTATCAGAATAACTCGGATAATGTATCTAAATTATTATCTAAATAGCCCGGATAATGTATCTACATTATCAGAATAGCCCGGGCAAAATATCTACAGCACGGACAATGTATCTACATTATCTAAATAACCCGGATAATGTATCTACATTATTATATTAGCCCGGATAATGTATCAACACTATCTAAAAAACCCGGATAATGTATCTACATTATCGGAATACCCCGGATAATGTATCTACATTATCAGAATAGCCCGGACAAAGTATCTACAGCAAGGACAATGTATCTACATTATCTAAAAAACCCGGATAATGTATCTCCATTATCTAAATAGCCCAGATAATGCATATACATTATCTAAATATGTATCTATATTATACAAATAGCCCGTATAATGTATGTACATTATCAAAATAGCCCGGATAATGTATCTAAATTATCCAAATATCTACGTTATCGGAAATTGTATCTACATTATCAGAATATAATATAATCAGAATAACCCAGGTTATGTATCTACATTATCTAGATATCCCGGATAATGTATCTATATTATCAGAATAACTCGGATAATGTATTGGCATTATCTAAATAGCCCGGATAATGTATCTACATTATCAGAATAGCCCGGACAAAGTATCTACATTACGGACAATGTATCTACATTATCTAAATAACCCGGATAATGTATGTACATTATTATATTAGCCCGGATAATGTATCTACACTATCTAAAAAACCCGGATAATGTATCTACATTATCGGAATACGCCGGATAATGTATCTACATTATCAGAATACCCCGGATAATCTCAATTCAATAACCCGGATAATGTATCTCCATTATCTAAATAACTCAGATAATGCATATACATTATCTAAATAACCCGGATAATGTATCTACATCATCTAAATAGCTCGTATAATATATCTATATTATCTTAATAGCCCGGATATTGTATCTACATTATCTAAATAGCCCGGATAATATATCTAAATTGTCTAAATAGCTCGGATAATGTATTTACATTATCCAAATAGCCCGGATAATGTATCTACATTATTCCAATAGCCTGGATAATGTATCTACATTATGAAAATGGCCCGAATAAAGTATCTACATTATCGGAATTGCTCGGATAATGTGTCTAAATTATCTAAATAGCCCGGATAATGTATCTACATCAATATAATAGCCCGGATAATGTATCTACATTATCGGGTTAGCTCGAATAATGTATCTAAATAACCCGGATAATGTATCTACATCAATATAATTGCCTGGATAATGTATCTATATTAACGGAATAGCTCGGATAATGTATTTCCATTAAGATAATAGCCCGGATAATGTATCTACATTATCGGTATAGCTCGAATAATGTATCTAAATTATCTAAATAGCCCGGATAATGTATCTACATCAATATAATAGCCCGGATATCAATATAATAATGTAACTACATTATCAGAATAACCCGGATAATATATATTCATTATCTAAATAGCCCAGATAATTTATCCACGTTATCAGAACAGCCCGGATAGTGCATCTACATTATCTAAATAGCCCGGACAATGTATCTACATGCTCACAATATTCCAGATAATGTATCTACATGATCAGAATATTCCAGATAATGTATCAACATCATCTAAATATTCCAGATAAGTTATTCAAATACCACAGATAAATTATCCGATCACATTTACCTAACATTTCCCTGTACTGTCTATTAAAATCAATTACAACAACAAGAACACATCGAAGTTCTTTTGAAAACTCTAATTTGCATATTATTACCATTTATGGAATCTTCTTCGTCTTTGGATACTTGTCGAGCGGAAATAATAAAATAAACACGAAATGGCTCCCCAGCACTTCACTGGAAAACAGGAAACCATCACCGCCACCACCAACAGAACAACAACCAAAAAACACATTAAACTATAAATATAGTTTATGCGGTTATAAAAATAGATTTTTAACGGGTTTTTTTCACAGCCACTTCATTCATTTGATTTAATTCCTTCCTCCATTCATTCATTCAGTCGTGCATGCAATGGGCACATTTTTAGAACTTCCATATGCTAAAATATGAAGAAAAATCCAGCCGTAAAAAAACTTCAAATGTAAGGTGAATGAAAACAAATTGTAGAATCCGAAGTAGCAGCCTACAGACAAACCAAATGAAAAATACAACTCAAATAGTTTCTTGCACAAAGAGATTTTTTCTTTGGTTTGATGGCAAGTCAAAATGAAAATATGTGGTCTTGTAGTTTCTACTCCATATATTCAGTGGCTGGTTGGCTGGCTGACTGGCTGGCTGGCACTAGGCAAACAGGCAGGAATGTATGGAGGCAGCCTGCCAAGCAATGCAAACAACCAGCCCCCATACTTGTACTCTCAACTCGACCATATTTGAATCTAAGCCAGCCAGCCACTCAGCAAACGAACAAACCAACCAACCAGTCAGTCAACCAACCAACCAGCCAATGTCTAAATGTAGGGGGAAAATAAATAGTTTTGCAAAAAGTTTATTTTTCTTATTTCTTGGTAACAAACAAACAGACAACTGAAGACAAAAAATTTCCAATGACACAGTGCAAGTTGCAGTTGTCACATATTTTTTGATTTTTGGATAAAACATGAGAAATTCCAAAGGAATTTCAGGTATTTTACGTACGTATTATAATGGAACGTATGATGATTGTCAATACTTATACGTCACCCTTACCGATGAGCAACAAATCTGAATTCGCAATACTCCAGATGAAGTCCCACATTTAGATCTTCAATTCATTCGGTCGAAATTCTCAAGAATTTTATAAAAAGACACCATGTTTTGATAGGGAAAATTGCCGAATATTAAGTCCCAGGGACCTATGGGATAATTAAGTCCTCATACGATCTTCATGCCTTGAAACTTGAAAATATTTGGTCTCGGTATTACCAAATGAGAGATTTCTGAGATTTCTTAGACGACTTTGATGAGTGATCCCCAATGACATTCAAAATTTCCATCTGACCTAACTTGTAATGTTGGGCGTCATTTCTGCTTTCGATGCCGTCATGAGTTAAGAATGTCGGGAATATGTCGTTTCTAATGTTGGGCGCCATTTGTTCCCTCGATACCGTCAACCATACTACACTGATTAAGGACGTCGAGAATATATTCATCTGACCCAGTTTATACTGTTGGGCGCCATTTGTGCCTTCGATACCGTCAAGCATTCCACTCTGATTAAGGAAGACGAAATTATATCTGTCTGACCTAGCTTGTCATGTTGGACGCCATTTGATTTTTTATATCGGTCTGATCTAGTTGGTAATGTTGGGCGCCATTTGTGCCATACTACAATGTTTAAGCTTTAAATGTTGGGCGCCATTTGTGCCTTAACACACTGATTAAAGAAGTAGAGAATATATCCATCTGACCTAGTTTCTAATGTTGGGCGCCATTTGTGTCTTCAATACTGCGAACCTTACCACACTGAATGGTGACGTCGAGAATGATTATTTCCCTTTGTTCAAGTTTGAAATTTTGGGCGCCATTTGTTACTACGTTACCGTCAACTTAAGGACGTCGAAAATATATTCACCTAACATAGCTTGTAATATTGGGCGCCATTTGTGTTTTCGATATCCTTAATCGGAGGCACAAACAGCTCTTTTAATGTTGGGCGCCAGATTTGTCATACCACTCCGATTAAAGGCGTCGAGAATATTTTCGCGCCATTTACGCCTTCGTTGCCGTCAACCTTACCACACCGATTAAAGACGTCAAGAAGATTTCCATAATCAATATTTACGCCTTCGTTGCCCTTCAACCTTACCACAATGTTAATGTTAGGCGTTATTTGTGCCTCCAATACCGTCAGCCATATCAAGGACGTCGATAATATATCCATCTGACTTAGGTTTTAATGTTCGGCGTCATCGGTGCTCTCATACCGCGTCATATGTGCACACTGATTAAGGACATCCAGAATGAATATTTCCCTCTGCTCATGCTTCAAACGTTGGGCGCCACTTGTGACCAACTTTACTACACCGATTAAGGACGTCGAGAATATTTCCATCTGACCAAATTTCGCCATTTGTGCCTTCGATGCCGCCAACATTACCACGCTGACTGAGGATATCGAGAATGAATATTTCCCTCTGTTCAAGTTTCAAATGTTGGTCGCCATCTGTGCCTTCGTTGCTGTCAATCGCCTTACCACACTGATTAAGGACGTCGAGAATATTTCCATATGACCTAAATTGTAATGTTGGGCGCCATTTGTGTCATATCACACTGATTAAGGACGTCGAGAATGAAGATCGAGAGGGTTTTAGGAGAAGTACAGACTTTAAGGGAATAACCCGAGACCAATGAGGTCTTCAGAGAAATATTTTGAGCGCTTCAAAGTAAGAAACTGAGTTCCTCAAAGAAATAATGTAGATCTTTCAAAAACTGAATTATGTGGGACATTCGGATACAATATTCATATTATCTGAGGAATTTGTTTAATGTAGATACATTCTGTGGAATATTTGGGTAATGTAGATGCATTATTCTAACAGTTTGGATGATATAGATACATTTTACGGACTATTTTGATAATATAGATAACTAATCCGCGACATTTGTATAATATAGATAATTTATGCGGGCCACTTAGAATGTTTAGATACATTATCCTGGTACATGGTATAATATAGATACATTTTCCGGGTTTTTTGGATAGTGTAGATAAATTATAGCCTATACGGAAAATATAGATACATTATCTGGAATATTTGAACTTTTTAGATATATTATCTACATTATTCGTGCAATTTAGAGAATGTAGAAACATTATCCAGGCTATTTGGCTAATATGAATGAGTTATTCAGGTCACTTAGTACATATAGATAAATTATCTATGCTCTTAGAATATTATCCGTGCTGTTAGGATAATATAGATAAAGTATCCACATTGTTTAGATAATTTAGATGCGTAATACAAGTTGTTCAGACAATGTAGATACTTTATCTAGACTATTTGTATAATATAAATAAATTATATAGGCAAACTGGATAATCCAGATAAATTATCCAAACCATTTGGATGATATATATGCATTATCTGAATGACTTGGTTAATGTAAATATCCTATTCGAACTATTTAGATGATGTAGATACATTATCTGAGCTGTCTCTTGATGTAGATAAACTATGCAAATGTAGATAAATTATCTGGTACCTTATCTGGTTATTTCGATAATAAAAATACATTATCTGGGTTATTAGGATAATTCAAATATATTATCTGGGCAATTTCGATAATTTAGATACATTATCTGGGCTATTTGCATAATGTAGATACATCGTCTGGACTATTTACATAATTTAAAGATCCTATTCGACTATTTAAGTGGTGTACATTCATTATCCGAGCTGTCTCTCGATATAGATAAATTATTCAAATATAGATACATTATCTGATAAATGTGCTGTGCTATTTGGATAATGTAAACATATTATCAGGGCTATTTAGATAATCCAGATACATAATCCGGTCCATTTAGATAATGTAGATACATTATCTGAACTATTTAGATCATTTAAATAACATATTCGAACTATTTAGATGATGTAGATACATTATCTGACCTATTTCTTGATGTAGATAAATTATTCTGATACATTATCCGGGCTATTTTATAATGTAAATATATTATCTGGGTTATTTAGATAATCTAGATACATTATACAGACCATTTAGATAATGTAGATACATTATCTGGACTGTTTGTATAATGTAAATAACTTAACTTATTTAAACTCAAACTATTTAGATGATGTAGATACATTATCCGAGCAGTCTCTTGTTGTAGATAAATTATTCAAATGTAGATACATTATCTAATATATTATTCGGGCTATTAGGATAAAATAAATACATAATCTGGGTTATTAGGATAATTCAGATACATTATCCAGACCATTTAAATAATGTAGATACATTATCTGAACTATTTGGATAATGTTAATATCCTATTCGGACTATTTAGATGATGTAGATACATTATCCGAGCTGTTTCTCGATGTAGATAAATTATCCAAATGTAGATACATTATCTAATACATTATTCGGGCTACATGGATAGTATATCCTATTAGGATAATCCAGATACATTATTCGACTAATTTGGGGAATGTTGATACATTATCTGGACTGTTTGAATAAAATTCGAATTACTTAGATGATATAGATACATTATCTGAACTGTAAATACATTATCTGAATATGTAAATAAATTGTTCTAATGTAGATACATTATTTACGTTATTTGGATAATGTAAATACATTATCTGGGTTATTTAGATAATCCAGATACATTATCAGACCCATTTAGATAATGTAGATGTATTGTCTGGACTATTTGGATAATGAAAATAACCCATTCGGACTATTTAGATGATGTAGATACATTATCCGAGCTCTCTCTTGATGTAGATAAATTATTTAAATATTGTAGATGCATTATCCATAATCAAATTAGATGATCTACTTTATCCACTACTTTAGATAACGTCGACACCCGCATCATCTCAATTTTTACTCACAGTATCCTTTATTATCAATGCAAACATTCACGTTTTCTGCGAGCCCCATATCCAAGTATGTGTGTGTTTGCTTAAAGCTCAACCTACCTCCTATCTCATCTGTAGGTGTGTGTGTTTTTTATATGATTTATTTTTTTAATTTCATACGAGCACGCGAATCTTTTAGAATTCATTGCAGAAGGTATGCCCGCCTGCCTGCCTATTGCATTTTATCTGCCGCCGTTGCCGCCACCTCTCTGGCTGGCAGGCAGTCATTCAGTCGACTGAACTGGCTCTGGCCATAGTTTTGAGACTTGAAGTTATTGCAAAAATTGATTTGAAATGCGGTCAAGCGTCAAATAGTGGCTCTTTTGATGTATGCCGTCATCATCATCGTCGTCGTCGTTGTCATGTTGTAAACATTGTCTGCTAAAAGACATACTCTCGGCCTCCTTCTCTCTCTACCCCGATTTGCAACTCTCTCTCTCCCTCCCTAACTCTTGTTATATGAATAACAAATAATGGTAGTTGTTGTATTGATTGTTCTCGATGAGATTACAAGGCAATGTGAGCGGGTGTTCTCTGTTCACGGTTTTGTTTACATTTTTTGTGATGATAGATTAAGAATGACTTAAATGTAACTAAACACACTCACACAGGTGGCGGTCGTTCAGTGTGTATTATTTTAGGAGAATTGTGATTAGAGAGGGGGTGTTAAGTTAAGGAAATTTAAATGGAATGCAAATTATAAGACATTTCTTTAGATTGTCATGGGTAATTTTAGTTAATTTGTGATTTTTTATTAATATTTCCTATTCCCTTAGGCTTACCTGTATGTATATGCCTGTCTGTCTATCTGCTTGGGAGTGTCAGTGCATGTTATGCCTGGGTAATTGATTTATAACCTTAATAGCCTTTTTTCTTCGATAACATATAATAATGATATGAATATTGAAGGTTCTCTGTTCGGTTCTGGCCCGCTGTTACATATTGTAAACAAATTGCGTTTTTACATTTGCAACACAAGATTTACATAGATTACGATAATTGAATATTTTCCAACTAAATTGAATGTAAATCATGACTAAGAGGTTTATTTTAGAGAGAGATAGAGAGAGCGGGCGATTAATATAAGGAAGTCTGCAGAAATGGGTATGATTTTGTATTGTATTAAATTGGAATATTCAATATTTGAATTATTTCGAGACGTAATAGTCGGGAATATTTTCATCTGACTAAATTGTAATGTTGGGCGCCATTTGTGTTTTCGATATCCGTCTGACGTAGTTTGTAATGGTGAGCGCCATTTGTGGCTCCTATACCGTCAACCATTCCATGCTAATTAAGGA